GTGCGTGTGTGTGTGTGTGTGTGTGTGTGTGTGTGTGTGTGTGTGTGTGAATATAACAATAACAGTATAATAATAGTTTGTTTTCTTTAAAGAAGTATATTGACTGTCGGTGATAATGCCGCCTTGTGGGGCCTGGTTTGGGTGGCAGTGACGTCATGGGCGAGAGACAATTCAAATTATTTTAAGAATGCACTGTTGAACTTTACCATTATTACTGGTTTAAGGTGACCTACAAAGACAGATATTGAAGGAAGTCCGAAAAAAGCGAGATTATAGTGTGAGGGGAGTAGTTTTCGCGTAATCGATGAGGACCATACAGAACCTTTCCGTTTTGGTACAGCAAAAGTTGAAGTGATGGAGCAGGTCTGGCTTGACTTCAATTAATTAAATCCATGGGCAACTCTACCCTTTCTCTGCCAGTCCCAAGGGCGGCTTTTGTGTTTCCGGTGTTCCTTTATTTTTGTTCGCTGTTATCTTTTGTGAAGCGTCAAGCACAGCTGCCAGCTGATCTTTCTTAAAGGTTATTGTAGTCCCAAAGGATGAGAGTCATGTCTTTTCCTCTCGCCTTAAGGGCAATGGTGGGGGTGTTCTTCTCGAGGTTTGTAAGTTTTTAGGTCGCTATGCTCGCAGGCCGTCAGGCTCGAATTCCGTTTCGGGTCCAACCTCGCATGTCTAGGAGAGACACGTCATAAGATAGGATAAAATCGGACATAGACTAGATAAACTTCTTATAGTTGTGGTAGATCTCTACAGTGTGTGTGTGTGTGTGTGTGTGTGTGTGTGTGTGTGTGAGAGAGAGAGAGAGAGAGAGAGAGAGAGAGAGAGAGAGAGAGAGAGAAATAGAGGGGAGGGGGAGACACACAAAGACAGAGAAGAAGAGAGAAAAAATGGTAGGTTTAGAAAGCGATACTTTACACGTATACACTACCTCACTTTGGCTGGTATTGAATGGTTAAAATGGTCGAGGTAATCAAGGAATGGGCTGAAGTACACCGAGTGCTCAATCTCATGTTGGAGAATATACTCGATTTGCATCGGAACTCGATTCTGCAATGACAGTGACAATGGCAATGACAATGACAATCTTTAAGCTTCTCGCTGGGAGAAATGTGTCTTGGTCGTTTACAATAGCAGTGGATGTTACAAAGATTAGGTGCACTCACGCATGACGCAAAACAAGACAGGACATTTGTAAATACATGTCT